CCCTTGGGGGGCGGGGCTGTGCCCTTCTATTTGCATGCAGCACTTTAGGACTGCTAAGTGCTGAAGTTTGGCTTCAGCTTTTGTTTGCATGTGCCGGAGGGACGGTTTAGTGGCTTCTGCTGCAGCAGTTGGCGCTGCTGCTGCCTGCTGCTGCTGCTGCTGCCTGCTGCAGCAGCTGCAGCGCCGCCTGGGCCAAACGCTGGGCTGTGCTGCTCTCGGGGGCCTCCGCGTAGACGCGGGCAACATCTTCAGTGCCCGAGGGCCTCACGAAGAGCCTGCAGAAGGGGCCTGCGGCTGCTGCCATCTCGTCTAGGCTTTGCTGCAGCAGCAGCAGCAGCAGCAGCAGCAGGGCCGGAAGCTAGCTAGTAGCGGAATGGATGCAGCAGCGACTTCGAGACACAAACAAGGGCTTAGAACTAGACAAGAAGCGAATCAGCAAACAATTAGGGGCAGAAAATGAACATAGACACTTAGTAAGAAGCTGCCAACAGCTGCTGCTGCTGCTGCTGATGCTGCTGCTGCTGCTTCGGTGTGCCTGCCTGCTGTGCACATCCTACGTGGCTTTCAGCAGCAGAAGCATCAGCTAAGACAAGGGCAGTGGCAGCAGCAGCACGCACAGAGGCAGCAACAGCAACAACAACAGCAAGACCAAGAACAGCAGCAGCAGCAACAGCAGCAGCAGCAGCAGCACCTGCAGCTCTTTGGGGTGTATAAGCCATTTCTCGTGGCCCTCGTGGGGCTTCAGGGTGGAGAGAAAAGCCCTCGGGAGTTTTACCTGCAGAGAGGAGCAGCAAATAAGAAAAAGCAAAATTAAATGTTTTATTAGTTTTGATTGCAAATGGTTTTGGGATTTATCTCGAAAAATGAAAGAAAAAGAAGAAAAATTAACTTCAAAACGCATGCACCAGCCCCAAACCCAGCTGCATGCGCATGCACAAATGGACTTCTATAATATGCAATATTTATATATAAAATATATAATTAACAAATAAATGGCACTTCTGAAATATAGACAGATCAGTGGCACTTTTGGAATATATATTAATAAATAAATGGTACTTTTGAAATTTTTTAATGTGTTATATATCTATTTATAGAATATATGTATAATATATTTAAATATAGAATATATATAATGTTACTATAATATATATATATAATGATATATATATACATGTATATAAATACAAGTATGCAATACTAGTAGTATAAACATAAATACTAAACATATATATATATATATTATATATCTCCGTGTCTAAATGGGTATATAAATTGTATAATACAAATATATATATATATATGAGTATAAATGCTAATATACTGCATATTATATATTATATATCATATATATTATATATTATATATTATATATATTATATATTACATACCATATATTATACAAACATTACATGCACATTCTGTATTATAAAATGTGCATTAAATACATGTTATACATATTGTTTATTATATATTATATTTTTCTTTTAATGTATAATATTCACATGCATGCACTTTATTATATTTAAACAAATCTTATGGACTTGTACACACATGCATGCACAAAATACTTTATCAACTTGGAATAAAAGAATAAAAAGAAATAAATCTGAAGTACACATCCATGCAAATGCATGCAAGTAGACGCAAAATGTATTTCTTTATCTATATTTTTAAATTAAAAACTTTTAAATTTTATATTTTCCAATGAACACTTTGCATGCACAAGTGGTGTACAGACACCACAGATAATGTCCTTATATTTGCAGCCAAAAGGCTGCTTAAACAAATCTTTTAAGTGAAACATTTCAAATATAAATAAGGCTTTTAAATGGGGCTTTTTGAGTTTAAATTAATCTTTTAAATGAAGCATTTTAAATATAAGTAAGGCCTTTAAATGGGGCTTTTTGAGTTTAAATTAATCTTTTAAATGAAGCATTTTTAATATAAGTAAGGCCTTTAAATGGGGCTTTTTGAGCTTAAATAAATCTTTTAATGAAACATTTTAAATTTAAGTAGGGACATAAAAGAGGGCCTTCCGCAGGAAGCAAAAGGAGACGAAAAACGGAACCCAAAAGTGTTCAAAAAGTGTCCAAAAAAGATCAAAAAAGGATAAAAAAGGACAAAAAAAGGACGAAAAAATGAGCCACAAAGCATACGAAAAGGAGACAAAGAGGGTATAAAAAGTAGCCAAAAAGAGGCCCAAAAGTGTGCAAAAAGTGTCTAAAAAGTGTGCAAAAAGTGCGCAAAAGTGTCCAAAAAGTGTCCAAAAAAGCGCCAAAAAGACGGACTTTGGCTGCAACTGCGGGGAATTCGTCATAAAGAATTCGCCACTCAGCCAAAGAGATTTTGAGTTTGGCCCTGCAGACCTCTGCAGCCAAAAGGTCCGCCAGGGCGTCCCCAGTGGCTGGGTTCAACAGACTCACGAACTGCAGCAGGAAGCTGAACGCCCCCGTCTGCAGCAGCAGCAGCAGCAGCAGCAGCAGCGGCGTGGCGGGGGTGGCAGCGGCAGGGAAACGCAACGCGAAAAACTGGCGGCAGCTGCGCTGACAGGGAATGCAGCAGCAGCAGCAAGGAGGGGAAGCAGCAGCAGCAGGGAGGGAAGGCAGCAGCAGCAGCAGCAAGGAGGGAAGGCAGCAGCAGCAGGCAGGCGAGGCACCAGCAGCAGGAAGAGGGCAGACAGCAGCAGTAGGGAGAGGGGATAGCAGCAGCAGGAAGACAGACAGAAGCAGCAGCAGCAGCAGGAAACAGCCGCAGCAGCAGGAAACAGAGGCAGCAGCAACAGCAGCAGCAGCAGCAGCAGCAGACGTTGCTGAGCCCCTGGGCCTCTGCCCAGGCCTGGAGTTCTTTCTTTTTGCAAATAAGAGTCCCGTGGCCATTTGCTTCGAAGTAAACCCCCAAAGGAAACCCTAGGGCTTCTCGGTGGAGGTTTTTAACTCCAGTTTTGGTGCAGCGCAGCACCAGCTGCAGCACACAGCGAGGGTTTAGGGTTTGCGCACTAGGGTTTAGGGTTTAGGGTTTAGGGTTTGCGGCTCGGGGGCGGCCCGCTGCTCGAGGGTTTGCCTCCACGCTGCGACCGAGCCCGCAGGGCCGAGGGGCTGGCTTCTCGCCCTACGGCTCAGGGCCTAGGGTTTAGGGTTTAGGGTTTAGGGTTTGGGACCTGGACTCGGGGGGCGTCCCATTTGCTGACAGCCTCAGCAAGACTTTCCAAAAACTTTGTGCTGCCGCCATTTGCGTAGGCTGTCTGTACAACTCCCACCTGCAGCGGCTCCCCACTTGGCTCCTTGGGGCCCTCGGGGGCCCCCATTTCGCTCTGCAGCAGCA